ACAGGGGGGTCGGCGAGGTGAGCAGGGGGCTGCGCCTGCACCCCGGGTTGTTGGGGTCCTGAGGCTGGAAAGGCCAAAGCTCTCGTCTGTAGCCTCTCGTTTAAAGTTCCCCTCACGTTAGGGAAGCGTCAAAAGCGCGGACGGGGCTCGAGAGAAGGTTTCTTTTCAGAAAACTACCAGCCGGTGACCGGGATGTCTTTGCCACGCCGGTAGAAATTCTAATGAGGAGTCGGAAATGAGTGTGATGTGCTGGAAGAGCTGGTGGGTGATGGGTGAGGAAGAGGAGCAATCCAGGCTTCCAGCCTGCTGGGGGCTTTCTGAAGAGTCGGCAAATGTGTGGACCAGGAAGCTGGAGTTAATCTAGTCTGGCTGGCTTTCCAAAAGGCTTTTGAGGAAGTCCTTCATGAAAGCCATCAAAGCGGCCGGACTGATGCAGGATGAAAGGGAAACGCCTGCCGGGGTCCGCTAACGGGCGGGATTTGAAGTGTTCAGGGTTGTAACCGGGAAGCGAGCGGTGGTGAGCTGCAGAGGGGCACGGCAGGAAGGAGGAATCGCCACAGCGACGGCTGCTGACCCAGCAAGGTCTGGTGAAAATCCCTGTTCTGTCCTGATGAGGTTGGGTGGAGGAGCCGCCGTGGAGCAGGGCTCGCTGTCCGGTGAGCTCCCGCAGCGCTACGGACGGGGCGTGCGGGGTTGTGCTGGGAGGGCACCGGCTCCAGTTTGTGCTTGTGCTTTCTGCCCCGCTGTCCTGCCACTTCTGTCTGACCTCCCGCACCTTGATCTGGTCCCGTGGGCTTTGGACCCTCTCCCCATCGGGGCTAATGCTCCCCAAACGTCTCCCTGGGCAAACAAAGGCGGAGGCGGAGCGAGGCCAGCAGAGCCCTTCCGTGGCCACCTGCACTGCAGACCCAGGGTGTTCCCAAGGGGCTTCCCTGCTCCGCAGCTCCATCCATCGCAGCCGCGATTCCTACATCTGCTGCATCCTTCCTCCCCGCCGCAGCACCCACGTCCCGCCCTGGGCCCTGTGCTCAGCCTCTCCCCATCCACCTGCGCTCCTCCGGTTACTGTTTGACAGAGGAACCTGCCCCGTTTCCTGGCAGCTCGGATTTTTCCGGCTCAGGAGGCAGGAGAGGCGGCTCGTGGCACTTTGTTTAAAGGGATGGAGCAGTCATGGCCGCAGCCCGCGAGGGTCACCCACCCTGCGGGAGCGTGAGGGACGTGACGGTGGGTTCGCAGGATTCTGGGATACACAAGGATGCGGAGGCTGTTTCCGTGAATTAATTTGTTACAAGTTATTATTAGTAAGGTAAATACACTTACGATTAGTAAAGCAAGCATGTGTATTTATAACCTTTTCTTTAGTATTGGTAGCAAGTGTATATATTGCATTCAAAGTGTTATGGTACAGTTTGTTAAGCGGCGCCCAGGAGCGAGGCCGATGGATGACGGATGAAGTCCCTCTCGGAGATGGTCCGTCAGGGAGCCTGGAGTCAGCCAGGTGTCGGGTCTGAAGGATGGCACAGAGAAGGGGGGGCTCTGGGGGA